CAAATCGTTACACTGGGTTATGAGCACACACTGCTTCAACTCCAAGCTCCCCTTTATGTGCGACTTTGAAACAAATTTTAACACTCATATGGAATCCACATCTTTCCACCTATTATAATTAAGCCCTACACTTTTCTGACTACTGATTTACTATTTTAAATAGATCGAAAGATTTATCGACTGACATAAATACTATCAAGATGACTTGTTCTCACTCGTAAAGATACGTAAAAAAAATCAATAAATCATCCGTATTAACCTACGCTGCATGAAATCGGAAATGGATACGCGGAAGCGAAACTTTAAAAAATGTGAAAACGAATTTTTCTGAGAAAAAGGAAACAAAAAAATATCAAAAATTAAAACCATATTAAAAGAAAATATTTGAAACAACACAAATCCAATACTTAAATATTAAATATTTTAACTAAAGATAAATAAAAACAACACTCAAAATCAAATATTTAGAGAAAAATAAAATATGAGTATTTCATATTTAGTTTTTAAAACTTATTAAAAATAACAAATAGATCATTATTTTTACAAAATATTTACATAATTTATTTTCAAATAAAAAATCGCGTTTCTAAAATGGAAAAACGTTTCTATCGCGTTTCCAAATTAAAATTTTTAAGAAACACGTTTCTATCGCGTTTCCTATTCAAACGTTTTTGAAACAGAAAGCGGATTTGGGTTGGAGTTTCCATTCAACCTAGGTATTAACATATAGTCAATTCCAACAAAAAAAAAAAAATTCACTCTTAATTATTAACTTTATTGAAATTGTCAATCCCACCATTTTCAGTACTATAAATACATTTCCATAAACCCATGAAGTCTATTGAAATTTGAAACATATTGACCTAAGTTAGTAACATCTTCTTCTTTTTTTGGTAACGTTTAGACTCTATATTTCTACCAAAATCTCTTCTTTTTTTTTGTAAACCACGACTTTCATGAATCTCCGAAGAGAGATACATCAAAAGATTATGGAAAAATCCCCACGATCATGAACCAAATAAAATCTCTTGAAGAGTTGCTGAGGTCACGCCAGTTTTGGCTGCGTATAGTAGTTTGTAACTTCGTAACATCATCAAGGACAGGCATGAACATGATTGAGCATGTCTCCACCACTTAGACTCACACTTATCATAAATTTTTAACTTTAAAATAAAACATATAATTTTTAGCGATTGATTGAAATCAATGTCGATCATACTTTAATTGCTGCATTTTGAATGTAGGATCATAATGGGTCCATAGTGAGATGACGAATGTATGATGATTGGAGTGATGTAAATGTCAAACCTACATGAACTCCATTTCTTTAACCATTACTCTCTTACCATTGGTGTAACCTAATCCGACGTGTACCAATCAAAATCATTTCTACAAAGCTAAAAAAATTACACACTTTTCCCTCTTTATTTTATCTCAAAAAGTAATTAAAAGTGAGCATACATAAAATTCAACAAACCCTTCTGAGGAAAATGACATTTCTTAGTCCTATTAATA